CTAGGATTCCATTCTCGTAGTAGTATTTCGCTAACGGAATTTGTTAATTTGTTTTCGTACGTACGTTCTTGCATTTTGATACAGTTCAGAAAGAGTCGCCCGTTATGGCCCGTTATTATTTATGATTTCGCTCGCACTTATAATAATGCAGTGAGAGAGATTGTTTGAATTGTTCGTGCAAGTTGTAGACGACAATGGCTAACCATTACGAGGTTCCAAACTGGTACGTTTCAAAACTTCCTCATTTGCGACGTAACTTGATCATTCAATTCTGTTTATTGTTTACGCAATCGCACGTTCCGAATTGTTTGTTGTCGCGCGGCAAGGTTGGCAATATATTGGATACATTCGTGTTCCCATACTACCAGTGTTAAAAATCTAGTATACGTAATGTAAACGATAGATTTTCAGTATGCACTGACAGTGTATATTGGAATATGGTTTTCTTGATACACATTAATTAATAATCTCTTTCAGGGCTGGTAAGCCACCGGTGGGGTTGCATCTGGACGTGTTAAAGAACGACAAGTTGATACAGGTAGGGGCAATACAAGATATACATCAACTGTATCTTTAGTGACATATCATTCCCTTCGAATTCTATTATTAGAGCTTATTTGAAAATATTATTTGAGTGTGCCTCTCTCTCCAAAGATATGTTCCATTTGATGTTCACAATGCTCATGGAAATCATATCATCCTTGTTGTTTATCAAATGTTAAACAAGGATAAATAATACATAATAATAATGCAAGCATGTAAGTAAATGGAGCGTACCCTGAATCTAATTTTATTCTTGTTTAACATTCGATGAATAAAGTGATATTGTTAACATTCGGATAGTACTTTCAAATTGTAGTCTTACTCGTGTGAGTTGGAGGTCAATTATGTGTCTTGAAACAAGGTGAAAATTTAAAAAATAAGCAAATTTATTAGGCGTTAATAAATAAAATTAGAAATATTCTAATAAATTCACTCATTTTTGTTATTTTTACTAAATTATATGATATATAATTGAATTCTTGTATGAACTAAGTGTCACATAGATCTTACTTTATTAGAAACTCATGGTGGATGAAAAGAAATGTTATCTATTTGGCCGCAATCAACAGCTGAATGACTTCTGCATTGATCATGCATCTTGTTCTCGCGTTCATGCGGCTCTCGTTTATCACAAGCATCTGAATAGAGCATTTTTGGTTGATCTGGGAAGTAGTAAGTACAGAACTTATACTGGTGCTAAGATATAGAATGCATTCGATTTGGATGCTTTTAGTATTTTCAGCATTTTTCTATCCATGTTTTACATGTACTACTAAAATTAAATAATAAAGATAGATTAATGATTTTAAAGCACATGAGCAATCAAATCAAATGCAGTCATATTCTTCTTTTAAGAAAGATTTTTAATTAAAATTGAATATCAAAGATCTCTTTTTTTTTTTAAATTGATTGTAAAGTTGATGTTAACCCATTTCTATCCACTGTTGTATTTCTTAAACAGCATTGTTTTTTAATTTTTTCTTCATGTATACATATATATAAAATCGATATGTATAAAGAACTGAAGAAATGCTCTATATACATATATAGAATATTTATATGTAGAGAAAGAAATTTAAAAAATGCTATCGTGTTTGAATAGGACAGGAAGAAATGGGTTTAAGAAAAAGATTTTTTTAATATTTATATTTTTATTTATAAGATATTTATTTATAAAATTATTTAAAATTTATTTATAGAAAGTTTAATATATTCTTTTATAGAATTATGCATATTTTTAAGTAATTAATGAGCCTAATAACTTTTTTCAGCACATGGAACTTTTATCGGAAATCTACGTTTGGAAGCACATAAACCGACTCAGTTACCAATTGACAGTACATTTCACTTTGGGGCATCTACTCGATATTACATAATAAGGGAAAGACCTCAAACTGGTGCCCGACCTATCATCGAAGAATTGGAGAAATTATCCGAAGATATGGACGCTGGTGGTTTGCTAGGATTGCCAGAAACAGAAACAGAATTAGATGTGTGTATTGAATATTTGATATATTATATTAAATTGTTAAAACATCTAAATTTTCTGCTAAATATAACTCAGTCTATTGTAATTTTCAGAATTTAACAGAATTTAACACAGCTCATAATCGACGGATCTCTATGCTTGGTATAACAGATGACGAAATGCATAAACCAACGCGTAAACGAAAAAAAAAGGGAATCACCTTCAATGATGACGAAGAAGTAATCAATCCGGAAGATGTTGATCCATCAGTCGGAAGATTTCGTAATCTTGTACAAACGACAGTTGTTCCTAGTAAGGTGCGCCATTTGCAAGGTTCTCAGGAGAAATAATTGCATGATTACAAAATTGCTTGATTTAATATTAAATAACAACTAAATAACTATAACTAGCTGTAATTGTTTAATTATTAAAGGAATATGTTTTATAATTACAGAGAATGCGTATGGAGGGTGGTCTTATATCCTTGGCGGAAGATCACAATCCTCTGAAACATATGCAACCCACGTCTACCACTTCGCAACTCTATCACGATTTACCTCCCGAGCAGTTTACGCCGTCGTCGATGTCTTCGATAAATCCATTTTCTACGGCTCTTACATCGCGGCTTGGCATCGCGCTACCTAACCCGGCACCCGAGGTGGAGATGACGCCGAATCAGATACAGACGGAAGTGCCGCATGTGCAAGAGCACATACCAGGTACGACGGAGCCGCGAGTAATGGAACCGAAGAAGAAGAAATATGCCAAAGAGGCATGGCCTGGGAAAAAACCGATACCAACGCTGCTTGTATAATAGGACGAATTATTCATATGTATAATAACATGTACATTATAATATAGCTTAGTTCATATATATATATATATAGAATATATACGTATATATATATATATATATATATATATATATATATATATATATATATATATATATATATATATAAGAGTTTTATTTTCTGATAGAGCTATACCTTCATCCAAGGATTATTCATACGCTACATGTGATTTACAATTTTTCATCAGCTCTGTTATGTTATCCAGGGAATGGAAGTTACAGTTACTTTTTAATAATTTTACTGGTAACTGCATTCCTTTTTTTCTTTGGTAACTGTAATAATGAAGTTACCACTCATATTTTTTTGATAACGATAACGAATTTTACAATTACATTTATCGTTACTTTGCACACGATTAGACACAAGCCATTCATAGTGCATGAGACTAAAAAGCCCATAGACTCGTTCGTTATGATTGTGGTTGTCGATTCTAAAAAACTAACGAAAAAGTAACGAAAAGTTATTTTCTCAAGTTATTTTCTCAACGGTAACTGTAACGAGTTATTTTAAAAAATCAGTAACTCCTAACGGTAACTTGTTACTTTTTCTACTTAGTAACGAGTAACTAAAGCCTGCGCCGCAGCCAATACGATGACAAAGTTTCAATCCAGCTAGCAATCCAGCAAGAAAACAAGCATCGCGTGTCGGCTTAACTTGTTATTTTTAAAAAATAACTTTCCATTCCCTGATCAACTATAAAATTTATTTTAATTATCACTGAATCATATAGAATTATGAAATTTTGGCTGATTATCATGATTTAATGTAAACGTTAATAGAACTCTCTAAAGAAATTTATGAGTCACTTGAAGAATGTGAATGAAGTATTGTAATCTACTAATACAACAAATGCATTCAGTTAACAGTGATATTCAATCAAAGCACCCTAAAGTTATGCAATTTTACTTTTTTTTTTTTAATGAATGATTTTGGATGCACTTTATGTTTGTCTCATATATATATATATATATATTTTTTTTTTTTATATGTATATATATATATATATATATATATATGTATGTATGTGTGTAAAATTTGTCTCCAGGTTACATTTCTAGCGAATTCGATTGGACGCACTCGTTGTGCAAATTGAAGTTGTTATCCAAATTGACGCAAAAATGTGTGTGTAATATAAATAAAGAAACCAATTAAATCGTAATATCTTCAACACTTTGTTATGTTGTTAAATAAAATATATATTTTATAATTCGAAATATTTGCATTTCATTTTTACCCTCATATTAAATCGGTATACAATATCTTTAATGTGTATCAGTGCGTCTAACCGAATATGCTGTTGATTTATTTTCTCTGCGATAACAAAAATATCAATAGAAATAAAATTATTTGTGTTATCTTATTGAACGTTTTTAGTGACTCAGGCTGGGTTATTCCACCTTTCGGTGGAACTTCAGCTCACTCTTACTCTCTTACTTTTAAAAGCTCTTACTCTTTTACTCTTTCATTTATCCAATAAGTTAATTACCACAATTCCGAAGATGAAACAATCGGCCCTAAGAGTATGAAGATTTTAATATCGTGATTTTTATTAATAACAGATTGCTATATTTGTTACATAATGTATTACATTTTTTTAAACTTTGGCATAATTCCTTCTATGTACAATTACGCTCCAAGTGCAATGAATACGATGTATAAAGGAAATTTTATTGAAATACTTTTATAAATATTAATACCAAAAAAAAAGTTAATAAACAAACAAATATTGTATATTACATAAGTATGTATTATTTTGAGTCAATAAATTTTTTAATATAATGAATTATTTTTATTTGTCTCTCTAGATATATTTTTTTGTTTCGAAGTAATGTCAATTAAGTGTGTCGTAATTTCCTTCCAGCAGGTTGAAAAAATTAAAGAGATTCATGAGTTATCGAATTTGATGCATCGCATTCATTACCCAGGATGCCTACATGAAGGTTTCCTCCTATTTTGTAAAAAAAGATATATTTCGTTTCTAGATACTAAATGAAATATTAATTGTGAAGTAGATGCAACACTTGTATATATTTATACTTGCTTTACAAGGAACTTTTACAAAAAATGCTCTTCTATAATATATTGTAACAATTATACTATAGAATATAAACATAAAATATATTTCTACACAAAATTTAACATAAGCGCTGTGATATTTCTCTTATAATTTTCGTCTTGTTATCGGGTAACGAAAAAGAGAATACACCGGCCTATTTCAAAAGATTCTTAAAAAATGTGTTAATATTCCAATGGTGTATCCGGTGTAGACGGCGATTCGAGAGCGACTTCCTCGTAATCCCTCTCAAGTGCCGCGAGATCCTCGCGCGCTTCCGCAAATTCGAGTTCTTCCATACCTTCTCCTATATACCAGTGAACAAATGCCCGCTTGTTGTACATTAGGTCGAATTTGCGATTAAGCTTAGCCCACGCTTCTTCTATAGCCGTCGTGTTAGATAGCATAGAGACAGCTCGTTGAACCTGCAAGTTATTCGTTTGATGTAAATATTAATATCTAAGTATGATTATAATTGTTACGTAATATCAATATTACGTAAGAAATTAATAATTATAACATAAATGACTGTTTATGATAAATGTAATATATGATTACGTAATATCAGCGTTATATAATAAAGTTATGTAAAGCCGCGTATATACCTAGCGAACGAACAGCGAACGCAAAACTTTTGTTATTCGTTATATAAAAGTTGCACAAGTTTAATTGCTATGTGCAACGAACATCGAATCTGATCGAATGCTAGTATTCGGTGCAATCAAGAAAAAGAATAAACTGCTCACAAATACAAACACGAATATTCGAACATTCGCGTTCGGTGTTCGTTCGCTAAGTATATATGCGGCTTAAAAAAATTGTGAATTAGAAATTCAGTTATGTAATAAATTAATAATTATTATAATTATTATATGTAAGAAAATTATAAATTAAAATTCCAATTATATATTATATAATTTGAATTTAAATCAAGCATTAATATCAATTTTAAAATAAATTTTTTACAATATAATTTTCGTTAGATTCCAAGATAGAACTCTCTATACTTATAATTTTATATGTAATTAAAATATATATATATAATATTTTCCATGTTATCTTTTGAAGACATAAAATTATTCAAGAGAATTCTATTTTGAATTTCATTAATTTATAGATTGTCTAAAAGATGTTTAAATTAACAAATTTTCATTTTAATAATAAAAAAATTAACATTAAAATAAGACTTCCAAGAGAAGATTTATCGACAATACCTTCGCAAGATCACCGCCTGGCACAGCCGTGGGCGGTTGATAATTGATTCCAACTTTGAAACCTGTGGGACACCAGTCGACAAAACGGATATAACTATTTCCCTTCACAGCAGCGATTGCGTCTTTTGGCACGACGTCCCCACGGTATAGGAGGCAGCAAGCCATATACTTGCCCTCGCGTGGATCGCACTTGACCATCTGATTTGTGGCCTCGAAGCACTCGGAGGTGATCTCTGCGACTGATATACCTTCGTGGTAAGCCTTTTCAGCGGATACCACCGGGGCATAGGTCGCCAAGGGAAAATGTATGCGGGGGTAGGGCACCAGATTCGTCTGGAATTCGGTCAAGTCAACGTTCAGAGCGCCGTCGAATCTCAAGGATGCTGTGATCGACGACACCACCTGGCTGATCAGCCGGTTCAGATTTGCGTACAAAGGTCGCTCGATGCTGAGCTTGCGCCGACAAATATCATAAATCGCTTCGTTGTCCACCATAAATGCGCAATCAGAGTGACTGATTGTCGTGTGTGTTGTTAATATCGCATTGTAAGGCTCCACCACAGCGGTAGATACCTGAAAATAATCGAGTGTATTTTTTTAACAGGAATTATTATTATTCGGAATTATTACTATCTTTATTTTATAAGATCATGTGTTTCCAGATCTCGTAATTTATAGATAGAGAGATTAATTTAAAAATTTATTTTATATTATATTTTTATCTTTATTAGTCTTGGTTCCATTAATTAACTTTAATCTCGGTTCAATTTATTCTTTATCTTTTTCTAATTCTTAGAACTAGAGAGAAAAAGATAACAATAAGTTAAATTGAGACTAAAGTTAATCTTACATTGGTAAAATCAGGCCTTAATCTTGATCACTGTAAATACTTACTTGGAAATTTAAGAAAAAAAAATTATTTTTCAGTTCATTTTAATCTCTCATAAGATGAGACAGAAAGATTTAATTTACTAAACGATATCGGTTATTTTTATCTTTATTAATCTTTATTAATCTCTCGCTATATTTTATTACTGTAAAATACTTATTTAGAAATTTAATTAAAAAAAAAGGTTCTATTTTTCAATTTATTTTAATCTCATCATTTCTCACAAAATGAAGCGAGAACTAATTAATAGATTCTCTTGCAAAAATGTGTAATCGATCTAATTTTTCTGAACTCACTTGTGGTGCCGGATATATGACAAATTCCAATTTACTCTTCTTGCCGTAATCATCAGACAGCTTTTCCATAAGCAGAGAAGTGAAACCCGACCCTGTGCCACCTCCAAATGAATGAAAAACAAAGAAACCTTGCAGACCGGTGCATTGATCGGTCAGTCTGCGTATTCGGTCTATCACGGACTCGATAATCTCACTCCCGATGGAATAATGACCGCGAGCATAATTATTGGCAGCATCTTCTTTGCCAGTAATTAATTGTTCTGGGTGATACAATTGTCTATACGTTCCCATCCGAATTTCATCTGTGGGAATAATAATTTTCAAACCATAGACATATATTTTGTGTCAAAACGATTATATAAAATGTTTATATAATAATATTATTATTATAAATAATTATAATATCATATATTATTATAAATAATTATTATAAATAATTAAAATATTATTATTATTAATAAATTATTTTCTCTGTGTGTGTGCGATAAATTATAATAAGCTGACCGACGACAGTTGGCTCGAGATCAATCATCACAGCACGCGGTACCATCTTGCCGGAGTTCGTCTCGTTGAAGAAGGTGTTGAAGCAATCATTCGAACCGGATGCCTTGTCAGACGGCATCGTCCCGTCTG